GTAACATTTTATGAAGGGATTAGGATTACCGGCAGGCGAGCCTGGAGTCCTGGAGATGGGAAGTACAGTGCCTGCATCTGAAGGAGGGGTGTTAAGTTGCAGTTTTAATAACTGTAGTGTAAAACCCCTCTGGCAAGACAGTGATAGTGAATGATGATGTAGTTTTTCTTTTTCGGGGCCTCCCTGGCCTTGGTGGAAATCGGCCGATGTGTTAAGAATAAAAAAAAGACATCTATTTTCAACATGTACATGTACAAGATATACAGGCCTTGCTGACATCAATGACACTTTTTATGAGAGCATTCGGGCAAATTAGGTCAGTTTTGTCCTAAGGATGTGACCCACACCAGTTGGACTAATACCCAGTTTCCATTTTACTGATGGGGACATAGACAACTTGTGTAGAAACCTGGACCTTGAACGTGTGAAGCGAGAGCTTTAGCCACCAGCCATGGGGCACTTGTAAAAATCATTTGAAGGAAGCAAATAACGTACATGGTTAAAAAACAACATACTCTGCTTTTCAAGGTTATTTTCTGACTGCATACAGATTATGGAATATGAAAATTGCATGGATTTAAACAGTCTGGTTATGGTCCAACAAATTGGATAGTTAAGAAGCCAGGTAGGACTCCTAGATCCCACTGGCTGCACATGACAGTGCCTTAACACCATTTGATCTGTATAGGCTAACTTACTCCGATGTTTCAGCCATTAGCAACTTAGGTGCACAGTTGAAGGCATAGTCAAAACATTTCTGTTGGGAATAATGAACACCAATTTAACCCTTTGACTGTCGGCAATCCACATTCCTGAGGTGTCTCCTGGTGTCGCAAAATTTAAAAAAAAAAAAAAAAAATTATGAATGATAGAGAATCTTTTTCCCGATTGTAATGAGCCCAAAACACGAAATTAGATGGAAAACTGACGGAATTAGCTTGCGAAGTTAGCGACCTCGGCAGATATTACAAATGGCGATTCGCTCACTTTGAGCCCTGTATTTTCGGCTAATTCCATTGTTCCAGTCAACAAAACTCACTAGCTACTTCTTTAGAACTCCATTTTTTCTATCGATTGAGTACAAGAAACTGCTCATTTTACCGATTTCAACTACCAATAAAATGGATCAGAACTTTGCAATTTGGCCAATTCACGAAATTAAAAACTTATGATAATTTCAAATAAGGGCCAGAATGAACTATGAGACATACCGGCTCATAAAATAACAATTTTCTTGGTTCATCAGTCTCGTCTCGGCCCCCTCTGATATTACTCTTGCTTTCTATTTTGATTTTTTGTCAAACAAATCATAGAAGGATTTATGTTAGCAGACTACTCCAATACTGTAATTATTGTATAATAACATCAACCCAGTCATGACTGCATATTAGAATGGCTTGTGGACATTTATTGGACAATGGCATATTTGTTGACTTTTGAACTCGCAAAATCCACTCCTTTCCAGGTATTTTATTGTAAAATCAATCAAATCACATCTCTTTCTATTATATGTTTTCCATTCTATCATAATGAGACAGAAAAACAAGGAATACAACCATAAAGACTATACGAAAATAAGGACCACAAAGTCGGATTTTTAATTAAAAAAAAGGGTCCTGAGTTTTTTTTCTCATGCACTGCGTATGCTCCAGGATTTTTTTATATGGTGCACACTGACCACACAGACCATTCTCTCACATGTGGGCTACCAGCTTTCTCCTGCTTGATTTGAAGCGCTAGAATTTGAAGGTATATAATAGTCAAACACTGTACCTTTAAGACGTATATATTATATGACGCGACAGTCAAAGGGTAATAAGTGAATTAGCTCAACACTGGCCATCAAGACACCAAAATATTTAATCTGAACTTCCCTTAGATTTTCTCCTGACAATCTTACACCTATTTAATTTACAATTTACAGTATATTTGCCATCCAAGTCTGGAATATACAGTGTACAGCAAAAGATAACCAAAGCGATTTTTTCATCTTCCACATTTAAAACCATGAATTGACCTGTGTATATCAGCATAAAAGCATAATGAATCCCATGGGCATCCAGCAGTAAGGTTAAGCCCACTAACATAAACCGCACATACTGGTCCAGATCAGAGTACTCTGAGGAATGCTATAGAGCAGGGGTCGCCAGTGTTGTTCTGCCTAAGGGCCAGGCCCTATGTGAGAGGATAGTGGCCAATCATGCCATAGTTAATAATTTAAAGGTAATAATATAAACATAATAACTTTGACCTATATTTATATATTTAATTAAGAAAAAGTTATGTCTATGAAATATATTAGTATTCTAAATGTTTCTTTTTTTATTTGTTTTGGCATTTCCTAGTTTTAATTTTTTTAAACATACGTAGCTTACATATGGGCTTGTAAACACCTCTGATACAAAAAAAAAAAAAAGTAGTCGCTCCCAACCACAGTGATCATAGTTTTGCCAAGCTTCACTGTCTGCATTGTTCTTGAATTCAGATGATGGGAAAGTCTCAAAAAAAAAAAAAAAGTCTGTGGCCAAGTTGATGTAATACAGTGGACCCGGTTAACGATATTTTTTCACTCATAAGTATGTTCAGGTGCAGTACTGACCAAAATTTATTCATAAGGAATAGTGTGAAGTAGTTAGTATCCATTTCAGACCCCCCAAAACATACACGTACAAACGCACTTACATAAATACACATACATAATTGGTTCGCATTTCGTGAGGTAATCGTTTATGGGGGGTTCCACTGTATTTCTCTTTTGGGACTGAGGCTGGAGCATTTTTGCATCATGGGCAATCTGGCCCAGGTCCCTAGGTTGCCGATACCTGCTGTAAAGGCAAAGCGAGATAGCTCAGATCAAGAAGCATTGACTACTACTAGATGTTGATTCAGCAGAACAACAATGCAGTATCCCTAAGCCACAGTTGAAAAGATTCACTCGTCATAATCCATGATCATGGGTATCACATGCATCAGAGGGGGCCAACAAAACATTAGTAGGCTAGCAGTTATTTCATTTCAAAAAAGTGTGGTTTATCCAACCCCCCCCCAAAAATCATTATAAACTTGACACAAAGAAGTCTCCCTTAAATGAAATAGTCAGACACACACTGAATACTACAGGGTGAACTTTCTCCACTCCAAAAAAAAAAAAAAATGCTTGATCAAAAATTAGCATTCAATCATTTGGAAGGAACATTAGATTGCAATATGATAAGTAGTTTTAGACATGTTTCTTGCATCACAGGGACAGCTTTTTGGGAGTGGGCAAACTGAAGTCCCCCTTCATTGACTGTGATAAACACCACTTTAAAAACTCTGATTGATCAGTGAGTTACAAAAGGAACATCGTTCATATGCGGCAAGATCTGGAACATTTTTATGTGGCTAATGCACAATGTCTTATTGAACTGTCATTCCAGAACCCCACCTCCTTGCCTGCAGGAGCCAAAACTGAAAAAAAGTAATCTGACACATTACTAGCCAGAAAAGTTCCACTGAGAAAACACTTGCTTAAGTTGAATCAAAGTTTCAAATGAATATTCTCTGTGGAACATGTAATAATTTCACCTTTTGACATAGATAACAATGTACAAAAGTAAAAATATATTTTGATATCGCTTAAATCAATTTAATTACTCTTAACAAATAAAATGTTGGACACAAATTTCATGTACATCTTTATACACATTGCACATTGCTGCCTTGTGGTACTGAATTTGATTAGTACAGATGTAGGAAAAAGTCATGACTCCTATTTTGCAGCTAACCTTGTAAAAAAAAAGAGACGCTGGGGAGCTTTGTCATCGTTTTTAAAAAGTCATGTGTCTTATTTTACTTACTTGGTAGGTATCTTGATATAGTACTTTTTATGCAAGCTTCCCCTGAAAGGGTCACTATTGCTTTGAGTTTGAACAAACCTTTTACAGAAAGTATGATTGGTTTTGTACCAGCTGTATATGGGGATTTAAATGATAAATAGCTCCTTTTTTATATATTAATATGCTGCCTTGATTATTTGTATAGTGGTGGTTAGTTAATTTATTTGAATGGCTCGAAATTGTACACTTTTTCTCGGTGGCATTGATAAATGTAGTAAGGGATTTTTGTTATATATAGTGAATGCAGCATTTATTACTTCACATGATGCAGTAAATCGAAATGAGTTTTAAATTGCTAATTGCTTTTAATTTTAATTTGCATAGGAAAGGGACAAAATGGGACGAGATGAATATTCTAGCCACCCTGCATCCCAAAGGACAAAAGACTTGGACACATCGAAGATAGAGGAGCCTAAAACACCATTGCGCATTATGTGGATGGTGGATCAGGAGGATATGAACATGATGGTATTGATGCTGCTCTTTTGGCCCGCAAAATTAAGTATTTCATGCATTTTCATATTTAGCAACGGGTTAAGGAGGTTTTAAATAATAACAGATTATTTTTTTTAAGCAAGCATAGATCGTCATACAATGTGACAAAAAAGCCAGTTGACATAAATCAGAACAACTTAGCCTGAAATCTTTATTTTTTAGCTCTTTTCACAAGGCTCATGAACAAGAGTGCATGCTCCAATGATTTGCAGTTCCTTTGTGCAGCTATTAATAAATGGGCAAGTCATCTGCCACTGCTGCTTCTGTTATCAATAACGTTATCAACATAGGTAATATTTGGAGAGAGTGGAGATGTAGGTGCATGTTTCTCTGCTAATTCTGACTTTGCTTTGGCAAAAGCTTGTGGTGGTGCGGTCTTTCCACTAAACACTGTCAGCCTGATATGTTTGAAGTGATGATGTGCACTGAAAATGAGATGTAGCACAGTTATGTTGGTTATTGGTATTTTATTAGAAAAAAACCTTCTTGTTACATAGTGACTTCATCAATTCATACTTTTTTGACATCATAGTAGATTTGAACAACATTGTGCAAAAAATGCATTTCATTTAGGTTAACTCAGTGGTAGTCTGAGGAAAGCTTTTTTAAATCAGGTGCCCTTGTGCACTCACTAGTATGTAACTAAAGATAGGAGTTTCCTGTAGTATGCAGTCTTGGCTATACTTGATTCAAGAAATCTGTAATGACACGATTGGCAAATAAACAATAGCCCCGGCCGGGCCCAGATTTAACCGCGGTCATAGTCTCAAACTCCAGCCCGTCGCGTTAGCCACTAGACCAGCTGCCACAATACGATTTCATCCAATTGGTATATTTCTACACCGATAGGAGAAAGATAGCACAGGCACCTCTGTGACCAACCAATGCACGTTTTTTCTGACGAATCTCCAGCTAGCGTGGCCGTGATGAAACTCTGCTCAAAGTCCATTCACTGCCGTCAACATGACTCAAGAATTCGTAATGACACGATTCAAATAAACATACCCCCGCCATGCCCGCACGGCAGGAGTTTTGAGACTATGACCGCGGGTTCAATCCCGGCGGGGGTATGGTTATTTGCAATCGTTGTCATTACGATTTCTTGAGTCATGTTGACGCAGTGAAGGGACTTGAGTAGAGTTCGTCCGGCCACGCTAGCTGGAGTTTCGTCTGTAACAAACTTGCATTTGTGGTCACAGAGGTGCCGTGCTAACTTTCCTATGGTGTAGAAATATACCTAGTTGATGAATCTTATTGGTGGCTAGCTGGTCTAGTGGCTAACGCGACGGGCTGGTGTTTGAGACCTCTATGACCGCGGGTTCAATCCCGGCCGGGGGTATGGTTTTTTTGGCTATAACGTACTTGGTTGTCTCGCTGAAGGAGTCTGTGCTGGCATCTTTTACCATGCACTCTCTTAAAACCTCCCTTTCTTGCTCTTCCCCTTAGTTCATGAATGTACTAAATAGTAGCTGGCTCTTTGTATTCCAGGATAAGTGGGAGGCAATGAGCTTCCCAAAGCATTAATTGTACCATGGAGTTGAGAAGAGAGCGGAGGATGAAGACTCTCGCCTGAGGAGAGATGTAAACTTTTGTGTATAAAAGGAAAACAACAGGTTTCATGCTTTCCTCTGTACATAAGTGTAGCAGTTGTACATGAGTGCCTCATTTTGATTCATAAAATACTGTCTGCTGCTATATTTTTACTTTGACATTTGAATTTCATATTTATATATTAACCTTTTAACTGGGTCCAATGTATGTAATGCAAGTGATGACTATCCGGACATAATAAATTCTAATTATCGCATCCAATTTTTTGTGCCTTCAATATGCCACCTGCCAGTACAATGGAACCTCAGCTTGCGAGTGCGCCAACATAGGAGTTTTCGAGATACAAGCTGTCGCTGGTCAGTTTTTTTGCTTGAGTACAAGCCAAAATCCAAGGTATGAGTGAGCTTCCACCTCAACCCTCACACCTGGCTTGTGTTCATCTATGATTTCTTGTTTTAATTCCATGAACATCATCCATTTTATCTTCTCAGCATGTCTTTGCACTTACTTTTCTTAGGACCCGTGGTTAGAAAAAAAATCTGGCAAAATAACTGAACCAAAATGCAAGCAAAACACAACGGAGTAATGCTTCCACCAGTGAGGGTAAAACAGTTTCCCTTCGCAGTTCGGCGGCTCATTCTGAAATCTCTCATATTATTTGTTATTGGTATATTATTATTAGGGAACTAGAGCACTGATTCAGTTCCCTATCTCAAGAGACTCTCAATGCTGCAAACTGTGCAGTGCACTGTTTTTTATATTTGCCATGGAAGCATTTCTCTCTAGTTTTGCTTTGCATTTTGGTAGTTGCCAAAATTTCTTTTTTCTAACCATGGGTCTTAAGAAAGTAAGCTGCAAAAGACAGTGCTGAGAAAAAAAGAGGATGATGTCATGGATTATAGCATAAAAAATCATAGATAAAAATGAGCGAGGTGTGAGGTGTACGGGTTGTTTGCGAAGGCAAGTAAGAGTGTAGTATCGTACTTCTGCTTATGCTGGTACTGCCTTGCATTAGAGTGTAGCAATTAAGTTCTGCGATAAAGTGTAGCATTAAGAGTGTAGCAAGTTAGCTATCTTCCACCCTAACACCTCCGCAGGCATAGTACGATTGATAAAAACCATGTAGCCTTTACTTTTTCTATATGTTTTAGCAATATTTCTTATTTATAATTACATTTTGTTTCAGTTTTTCTTATGAACTAGTGATCTATGCAGTTAGCATTCAAAAGCAATGTTTTCAGAGGGGAGATATTGTCAGTGTGGCAGTGGCAATGGCCTCCACACTCATCAAATAGTGACATATTTATTAATTCTAGTTCCTTGATAATGTGGTAGTCACGAAAGCGCGTGGATTTCTCTATTCTTCAGGTGGTTGTTTGCACATTCTAGAGTAAATATATCAAGTTGCTATGTTTTTTATATATGGAAATATAACACAAATGCAGTATAATGTGATCCTTTATTGACTACCGTTTCGCACACAGTGGGCTTTTTCAAGTCACAAACAGAACTACCTAGGGTGAAGTACGCGAGTATTTATAGTCCGGTTCAGAAATGCGCAGGATGGAGGATGAGGTAGGTGAGAATGCGATCTGTGATGTACCGAGTGGGGTTATAGAGTCTAAAAACTTGGGTAGCTGGAAAGGAGATTGATAAGTTTGTGAGCAGACCTTCTACAGTGTTCTTATGTGATTAGCGATGAGAAGTTTCTTGGCAAGTGGTTCAGCTATGTTATAGAAGCCACTATTTGGTGTAGTGTCGGAGATAGAAATAAGTGCATGATTCCAGGATTCTTCGGTATTGAGTGTTGTCTTCTTGTGGCGATAAGTCTTGAGTTCTGTAGTTATCAAGTGGTGTGTGGAATTACGGGTTGTTGTACGCAGGCATTACTTGTGTCGTCAGACCTGATTGCGTTATTGTGTTCTGAAACAGTGTTTGGAGGTCCTTGATGTTTCCGCCACGTTTACTTGTTGCAGTATTACAAGGGATTATGTATACCCGCTGAGATGGAGGCTTGTCCTGTCTACTACTGGTGATGTCCTTGATTGTGTCGTGGTTGTGGAGGTAGATCTTGGAATGGATGTTTTGGCAAAGATGTTGGAAACATGTTTGGCAATGGAGTTGGTGGGTCGGACTATGCATCTCTTCTCGGCAGGGTCTCTCTGGTGTGTTGAAGATGTTTAATGCCCGCCGTCTGCAGTCTCTGATGAAATGACGTGGGATAGGGGGAGTTTAGAAAATAGTTGTTCAATTATAGTGCATTTTCCACAAGGAAACTCGTCTTGCTGCTGATTCTGAAGTGCACGCAGGAAGAAGCCTATAATTACACACGTTTGGTTTTGGTGTCGTGGTAGTAGTAGAAGTGGAGAAGATCGTTTTGGTTTGGTGGGTTTTCGATAGACTTTAAAAGCCGACGTTCTCACCATTATTCTTCGTTCTGTCACCTGGCTCCGTTATGTTGACGTATTTCATCATATCTCCTAAACGCGCAACGCTTCAAACTCTCCAAGGACCAAGCTCAACCAGGTCGAGCCTTCAATCCAGTTCACACTTGAAAGAAGAAGTCAACAACACTCTTCTTTCTTGATGTCCTGCTCTGCAAAGCTGACCACGAACACCTTTTGTTTTTTTTAAAGTCTATCGTAAACCACCTAACCAAAAACGATATTCTCCACTTCTACTCTTCACCACGACACCAAAACAAACGTGGTGTATTATAGGCTTCTTCTTCGTGCATTCTAGAATCTGCAGGCAACGAGTCCTTGAGGGAAGAATGCACTTTAATTGAACAATATTTTCTAAACTCCACTATCCTCGTCATTTCATCAAGAGACTGCAGACCAAAATGGCGGCATTAACATCTTCAAACACACCCAGAGAAAGACACTGCCGGAAGAGATGCATAGTCTTCCCACCAACTCCATGTCCAAACATGTTTCCAACATCTTTGCCAAATCATCATTCAAGTATTACCTCCACAACCATGACCATCAAGGACATCACAGTAGTAGACAGGACAAGCCCTCCATCCTCTGCAGGGGTATACATAATCCTTGTAATGACTGCAACAAGTTATTCGTGGGCGAAAACATCAAGGGACTCCGAAAACACGTGTTTCAGAACACCAATAGCAAGAAGGTTTGACGACACAAGGGGAATGCCTGCGTACAAACCGAAATTCACACAACACTTGATAAACTACAGAAACTCAAGAGTATCGCCACAGAGACAACATCTATACCCGAAGAATCCTGGAATCATCACTGATTCTTTATCCGACAACTTCAACCGGAATAGTGGCTTCTCATAAACTTAAGCTGAACACACTTGCCAAGAAATTCTTCATCGCTTATCCCACATAAGAACACTGTAGAAGGTCTGCTCACAACTTATCCAATCTCCTTTCCAAGCTACCCAAGTTT